GAAGCAGGAGGGCCCTGGGGAAACTGTAATGACCTTTACTCTCTCTTTTCCAGATAAACTCTGAATTGCATGTTCCACCAACTCAGGTGTTACGGGCGCCCACCAAATAGAGCCGGACCTCCAAAGGCTGCTGTGTTACGGTGTATGCGGGTGCCGGGGCTGGCACGTTTCACCTGGGGAGCGCACGTTTCACCTGGGGAGCTGCCTGGGACTACTCTGGATTTTCCAGAGCTACTGGGATAGGGCCTGTCAAAATAAGGCCACGGGAGGGGTTACCTGTATCCTGTAGTCGTGATTGATTAAAGTCTTTAAAAGGTTGTGGCTGAATCTTTTCAGAGAGGTCAGGTCCAATGAGACCCTGGCCCATGACCCCACCTCTGTGTCACGAGGGGACTTTGTCCCCACCTCAGATTGTGGTATGAGAACGGCGTGTCCCTGTGAGACTGGACCCAGGCCGGTGGCATGGGACTTCCTTCTTGCATTTGGAGCAGGTCTGTGAGTGGAGCCTGGAGCTTTGGGGCTCTTGCAAGGTCTTAAGCGTCTGACTGTCCTTGGGCCTGCAGGACCCTTTTTGTGAGTTTTTGGGGTCCCTGGTTCCACCTGGTATAGTGTGAGGCTCCTCCTGTGGGCAGCCTGCAGGTGCCCTGGACAGGTGTCCTGGGCAGGTGGCCCAGTGCCTTAGGCCCTCCTTCAACCCTGGGCCTTGAGGCCACTTACCCAAAGGGGAAAAGCCAGAGGGGCCCAGCTGGTCCTGAGTTTGCCATCCTCAGAGTGCTCACAGACGTCGCGCCCCTATCCTGGTCCCCCAGCTTGGCCAACTGGAGACCTGTCAGCTTAGTGTTTCATTCTTTTATTATTAAGAGAAAAATCACCACGCAAGAAAGGAACAACAGCCAAGAGAAACCCAGCTCTCACTGCAAGTACCATCCCCCTGCCTGGCCGAAATGAGGTCCTGGCAGGGCGGGGCGGGTCGGCACTGGGGTGGGGGTGGGGCACAGGGGTTCACTCTCACTGCTCCTCATCTAGGCTTCTGAGCACTGGTCCGCGCGGAGGAAGCTCTGGGAAGCGATAAAAACCCACTGGGGACTGGGGACTTGTGCTCCCACCGGGGTGCCTCCCGGGCGGGAAGAAGATCCACTCTGGGAGGGCGGCAGGGAGGAAGCAGCCACCTCCCCACCCACCATTGGTAGGAAGGGCCTGGCCCACGTTTGCAGAACAGACTGGTGGTGTGGCTGTCCTCACAGGATTCTGTTGGGGAGGGAGGGTGATGCTTTCTGCTTACTCATTTCTTTTTTATAGCTCTGGGCACTGGCCCACGATGGGATTCTCAGTCAATTCCATTAAAGTTTACTCTTCCACTGGAGGGCCTTGGGGGCATCTGGGGTGGCCTCCCCGGAGCCAGGGCCTGAAGAAAGTGGTGCCTCAGCAACGAGGGGCAGACCCCCAGCCCTGCCCACACTTCCCACCCCTCGGGCAGGGGCCGGAGGGGTGGGGTGAGGCCCGCAGCCGGCTCAGGTGGAGCAGGGGCAGGGGTGTCACCAGCCCAGCAAGCAGGAGGCTGCAAGGGGAGGGGGGACACTGGGCTTCTCGAGCTCCCCAGGGAGAGTGCAAGGTCCACACCAGAGGAGGGGCAAAGGCACAGGTCCAGGCGGGAGGGGGGGGGCGGGGAGCGGCAGCTAGGCCTGGGGGGGCGGTAGTGGTGGGGGGGTGCTTCACGCCCCCAGGAGCTTCTTGACCATGTAGCCAGGGAGGCTGTAGAGGAAGAGGGCCAGCATGAGCAGCCCCAGCAGCGCCAGCACGATCTTGATGATGAGCCACTTGTACCGCGTGCAGATGAGGTACTTGATGGACTTGAGGGGGTTGAGGAACCAGACGAAGGCGGTGTCAGGCCGGCTGGGGGAGGGGAAGCCGCGGTCAGGCAGCGGGCCTCTCCAGGGCACCCCAGGCCCTCAGCCTTCTTAGACTCCCACGGGCCCTGACACAGCCCCGGTCCCCAAAGTAGTGAGTGCCGGAGCCAGGTTCTAGCCCTTTCTAAGCACTAGGTTTGCTGGGGACTCTTTGGCCCCCAGCCTCCTCCCCAGGCCCGGAGGGCTTTCTGGCAGTCGGGCAGCCGTCCAGCTAACACCTGGACGATGGCGGCCTTGGCCTTGGCCGCTCACCATGTGAAGACGCAGCCGCAGGGCTGCAGGCTGTTCTGATTCCCAGGAACCTCGTCTACTTAGCGGCTCGTTGTACGTGCTCCAGTCTCGGCCCCCGTTGTCTTTCTGTGAATCCGTGTTCCTCAACCTCTCCCCCTTTTCTGAGGAACAGGGGCTTCTGGCCCCACACGGCCCTGCCCAGGGTCTGAGGAGCCCTGGTTGGGGCGCAAGCCACACTCAACCACCTGCCCACTGTCAGGGTGGGGTTACGGCTCTGCCTTCTGCACAGACTCCCAGCCAAAAGGGGCTTGCTAAGCTTTACCTTCCGTGGTTTACATTACAGGAACGGTAGGTTTTATAAGATGTCAAGATATAAAATTCCAGTATGCTTTTTCAACCTCCTGGGCCAGCGGCCGCCGGAGGACACAGACCGTGCCCTCCCAGAGCCAGGCGCAGGGCACCTGGTTTCCAGCCTTAGCGGTGACGGGCAAGTTGGACGCCTGTCTGAACCTCAGTTTCCTCCCTTACACAGTGGGGTGCCTAGTGGACCCTGCTTCCGGGGTCAGTGAAAGGGTAAGGAGAGAAAGTGCATGTGAAACGCTAGGCGCGGTGCCCGGCCCTGAATAGCCGCTCAGCTGGCTGCAAAAATGTGGGAACTGGATGGGGTTCCTTACGCCCTGCCTGGCAGAAAATGGCTCTGGGCCCGGAGGGGAATGCTGGTAGGAACTAGTCAGGCCTCGCTGGCTAATCCTAGCCAAACCCTCTCCCCGTTCCCTGTCCTCATGTCAACTCTTTCTGCCAATGGCCCTGGGTTAGTATCTGTTGGTCTGTCACGAGGACAGGAGGTGGGGTGGTGCTCAGAAGACTGGGTGGCAATTTGAAAGCCGAGGCTGGGTCTTAGCCCTAATCTGCTGGGCGACCTTAGGCGAGTTGCTTCGCCTCTCTGGCCTGACACGCGCTCATGTAAAACAGTGATTTTAGTTCTGAGAGCCCGTGGTACCGTTTGACAGCTTGCAAGTTGCTGTGTGTGTGTGCGTTCCCTGTGTGTGTGTGCATGTGTGTGCGCACGTGTGTGTGTGTGTGTGTGTGTGTGTGTGTGTGTTCTGCATGCTGCCAAGCTCATCGGCCCTGGGTCCGGAGGAAGAAGTGAGGAGGACCAGAGCCAGCAGGATGCCAGGCTCAGGCCCCCAGGGTCTTCCTGACCAGGTAGCCAGCCACAGAGCAGAGGAAGAGGGCGAGGAGCAGGAGCAGTTTGAGGAACCGCCAGCGGCTTGTGTGCCACAGGAAGTAGCGGGCAGACTTGAGAGGGTTCAAGAACCAGATGAAGCTCGTGTCTGGCCGCCTGGAGCAGCGAGAGGGCGGAGGGAGCACGGAGAGAGGACACAGAGGATGAAGGCTCAGGGTGTGGTCAGGGGTCTTGCAACAGGGGGGCAACCCTGGGCTGAGCACCCTGGGCTGAGCGTGTGCACTTCTCGGCACCTCCCCAGCCATCAGGGCCCCCCTGGAGCCCCAGCCCGCTCGCTTCTGGCAAAAACGAGGAAGAGCGTTTCAGTCTGTGAAATGGGGCCTTCCCTGGGAGAGGGGCTGATCCCCTGCACGGAAGCCCGGTCGCCCGTGCCCCGGTTCAGAGCGAGGGGTGCATTCCAGGCAGAAGCGGAGAAGGGAGGAGGCTCCCTCGCAATGAGGCTACCGCCCTGAAAGGGCTAGAGAACGCCAGAGGTGCCTGCAGCGTGGGAACAAGAAGACCAGAAGGTTCTGGCCCCTCCTTCCTGCCCCCATGGCCCCAGGGACCAGCGTGGCAGGGGCGCCAGGCAAGGCAGCATACTCACTTGGGTTTCTCTAGAGGGTCAGGTTCATTGCGGGCTAGGCCCACCGGATTCTTCTCTGCCTCCTCCGCTGTCAGTAGATGCAATTCTGCCTCCACCTTGCCCTGCGGAAAGGAACAGAAGGATCCTAGGGCTCAGGCGGGGTGCGCGGCCCAGCCCTGCCCCGCCCTCTGCGGGAGCCGTGGCGGTCCCCACCGTGAGCTCGAACTCATCGTTCTCATTGCGGGCCAGAAGGGGCCACCAGCCTTTGACGCGCTTCTGCTTGAAGATGGAAACCAGGGGCACGTCCACCTCCCCCGTGGCCATCTCCATGGTGCACTGCTTGGCTGTCTTGGCGCCCCGGGGAAAGCGGTTGAGGTCCAGCTCGATGGCCCCTGTGGCAACCTTGGAGTCAGCTCTGACAGCCCGGGTCCCGTTGATCCCCACCCGGGGTGGGCTCCCTCCGCCCCTGCCTCCCCCTGCCCTACCCCTCCGCTCCCCAGCCCCGCACCCAGGAAGTCGTCCGCGGAGAAGTGGTCCGCGTCCCAGATCTGCAGGGTGAGCCGCGCGGGGATCTTGTACTCGGTCTCGTCCCAGGAGAACATGGACTCCTTCTTGGAGATGACGATCCTTTCCTCAGCGGCCAGGTAGTCGAAGGGGAACAGGTAGCGCCAGTTGAAGTTGCCTTCGCCGGTGAGGGAATGATAGTGGACGTCCGTGTCCTGCTTGTCCTCCTGCTGGCCCTTCAGCCACCTGCCGGGTGCCATTAGCTCCAGACCCGCGGCCACCCGCAGGGAGCCCCCTCCCTCCTCCCTGGCCTCCTGGGAAGGTGGGCTCACCCGTCCGAGCACCCCTACCCCCCAGCCAGGGGCCCTCTCACCCACCCCCGCACAAAAATGTCGCTGGACTTCTCCCCAGTAAAGAAGTCATCGTCCTCCAGGACCACCTCGTCTGTGTTCCACACGATGACCCGGAGCTCATACCTGGGCAGGGGAGAGGCTGGCTCGCAGTCTGGGGGTGGGGGCGGCCCCAGGGTCTTGGTGTAGATGGGGCAGGTACCTGAGGGGAGTGCTGGGACTCGTGAGCATGGGAGCTGGCCCAGACTGGGGTGCAGAGAGCCCATTCGGGTAAGAGGGCAAGGAGGGGAGCGGAGGGGACCCGGGTGAGGGAGAGAGGGTCAGCCAGCCGGCATGGCTGTCGTGAGGAGAACCCTAGGGGAAGCCCGTCTGGCAGGCTCTCCAGGACAGAGCACGCACGCTCCCGGGCAAGGAGGCTGACTCAGGCCTGGAAGGGGCAGGGGTGGCTGCTGCGGGGTGGCTCAGCAGGAACTCGGTCTCCAGAGGCCGGAAGACAGTGTCTAACACAAGTTTAGGTGTGGGCCCAGCAGCTGGCATGCTCATGGCATCTGGTTTCCTTTAGGTCCTTGTCCCAGAAGAGGATTTTCCCCCTTGCGGTGTAATTGTCATTATAAATAGGTACATTTCAGCCTTTACGAGTGAGGTTGGGTCGCCCCCTCCGCCTTCCTCAGAGTGGGGCTCTCGCCCGGACTGCAAGTCCCAGGTGACACAATGGGGTCGGGTGTCCCCTGGTGGCCATCCCTGGGACAGCACACCTGTGACCTCAGACCTGGAGGCGATTCCAGGCAGAATTTGCCGTATGATTTGCAGGGCCCGGTGCAAAGTGGAAAGGTGGGGCCTTTATTAAAAAATCATTAAGAATTTAAACATTGCCATTTTGAAGTGAGCGTGGGGCCCCTCTGAGTGTGGGGTCTGTGCAACTTCCCCACCCATGCAGTTGGCCCTGGTTCCAGGCACTAGGATGTTAGAAGCGGCAGCAACTCCATCCTGCCGCCTTCCAGATGGGAAAACCAAGGACCAGGGAGGTAAAATGACCTGGCCAGGGCCAACTAGGAGAAGCAGGTGGCCTGGCTCCTGAACCAGTGCTCTTTCCACTCTATCAACCTTCCCCCTCTTCCAGGCGCTCACTCCTACATACCTCCTCGGCAAGGGTTTTAAAGAAAACCTGGCAGAGCTTGGGGAGCCTGGGTGGCTCAGTCGGTTAGGTGTCCGACTTTGGCTCAGGTCATGATCTCACAGTTCGTGAGTTCGGGCCCGGCGTCAGGCCCTGTGCTGACAGCTCGGAGCCCGGAGCCTGCTTCGGATTCTGTGTCTCCCTCTCTCTCTTCCCCTCCCCTGCTCATATTCTGTTCTCTTTCTCTCAAAAATAAATAAACATTAAAAACTTGTAAAGAAAACCTGGCAGAGCTTAATGACAGCCTGGAGTGGGGACAAGGGGAGCGGGCTCTCAGGGGTGATGCCGCTGTGAGGAAGAGAGTCCCCTGGAGGGTGCTGGTGAGTACACATCACCTCATTGCCCACACACTGGGGGGTGGCTGTGCCTTGGCAAAGGGGACCCACCTAGGGTAGGCCCCATAGCTGTCTCCATGGGTTGCCCTGTTCCCCCTGAAGGCCACATGGGAAACACCACTGACCAAGGTGATGCAGGTGGTCTGGACCTGGGGATCCCACGGGAATGAAGGCCACGGGGGGAGGGACAAGAGATGGGGGAGGTAGTGCTGGGCCCCAGAAGCTCACTTCTTGGGCTTCCGGGGGGAGATGTCCAGAGGCGTCCCAGGGGCCGGCATGTCCATGGGGAACATGTCCACCCACAGCTCCAGGCGGCCCTATGGAAGAGAGGGCGTGGCAGATCTCCCCAGGGACTCCCTCCCTGCCCAGGAAGGCCAGCTCTCCTCCCTCCCAACCTTTGTTCCCTCAGGACACGGTTCATCAGTTTTCATCCTTGGATGCCAGAATCCCTATGACCTCACCAACAGCCAATCACAGCGTCTAAGGGAGACACTGCAGGCTGCACCTGAGTTCATGGGGCTCACACTCAAAGGAAAGACACAGGCCCCTGGAGTTACCGTGAGGGGCCATGCTAGGAAAGTGCTTTCCAGGCTTTTGGGAAGGCAGCGAATAGTTGGAGGATCCATTTTTATGGGCCTAGGTAGGGACTCCCTGATCCCAGATACCAAAGAACCTCGGATCTAGGCCTGGCGAGCGTCACCTGCTCGATGCCCGGCTTGTCAGGGTTGAGCAGGGGCCGGGTTTCCACGTGTTCAGGCACCAGGCGGCAGCCCACGCGGGGGATGTCCTCCCAGTGCCTCAGGGCAGATAGAGCCACATGCTCTTCCGTAGGCTTCCTCTGACCTGTGGGTGCCGGTGGTTCAGCGGCGCATAGGGCCTCAGCACAGCAAGAGACCCGTGCTGGGGCTAGACTCGGGGGCACAGAGCGGCCCCTGAGCCATCACTCATCCATACTGTCTCCTTTTACTGTTGGGGAAACTGAGGCACGGGGGCAGCGTGGCTTGCCCGAGTTCTCAGCTGCCCCATGGGGCCCAGCGGGACCTGTGCTCTTGGGTTTCCCCTGCCTGGGGAATCTGACCAGAGAATCCTGCTGGGTTGTGAGGGCAGGGAGGGGAGGAATCCACTTCCTGTCTCAGCACCCTGCGGGGCCGCAGCATGAGTTCCGCAGCACGCGTCTCCTGTTCTCTGGAAGTGCCACGTGACAAAGAGTGGGGAGAGTCAGCTGGGACCTGGGCCCACACCCTCACTCTGCCCCCGAAGGGCCACGTGACTTTGGGCAAATCACTGTAGAATGGGAAGAACCTCCCTACCCCACAGGAATTCTGGGAGGGAGAGAGAAGGCAACAAGTGTGCAGGAGCTTGTGCCGGAGGGCAGAGGCTGGGCAGAGGGGAGCGGGGCGCTAGGCTGATGGGCAGAGGGTCTAAGGACGCCCCAGTCTAGGCCTTGAAGTCCTGCCGCAGGAAGCGTGGGTCCCTTTTGGCCTCTGACACCCCCCGTGTCCAGCGCCTTGTTACCATTCTCGTCCTCGATCTCAGAGGGCCCAGTGAAGACACGGTTGGACACCTTCACTCTCCCGGGGGGCCCAAAGTGGGGGCCGTCCACTTTGCCCTCCTTGCAGAGGCGGGTCAGAATCTGGCTGGGCTTCATGGGGTCCCGCCAGATATTGTAGCCATGTCTGTGGGAGGGGGCACACAGGTTTCGTGGGGCTCAGGGTGGGGCTGGGGCCCATCCCTCGGTGGCAGCTGGTTCCCACCAGTTCTCTTAAGTTGGCTGCTGCCCCATGTCAGCAAGCAGGCCCTGCCCGAGACACTAGGGCTGCTCGAGGCTGATCCCTCTTACCCCAGGCTCACATGTCCCGTGTCCTGAGGATGAGCTTTCAGCCTCCCTCAACACAGCCCAATCCATTCCCCAACTGTGCCCTCTCCTCTGGAGCTTCAGAGACTCCCACGAGGACACTGGTAACCAGAGAGTTTGGGGACGTGTCGAGAGTCACACAGCCTGTCAGTGGCAGAGACTGGCTGGATCCCCAGTGGCCTCTGCCTGGCCTCTTCCCAGCCCTGGGGTTCTCTCCTTGCCCGGCCTCCCCCGTCCCAGAAGTCAGCCTTTTGACTCCCCCCCCCGCCCCCGGCTCTCTCCTTGTGTTAGAATCTGTGGTCTGCTCGGTCTGTACGAATGGACGCCTGGACTGGGACCGAAACTGTAATATATCCACCTTCCCAGACCACGATCTCTGAGTCTTGGGTTTCAGAGTCAAGATGCAGCAGTGCGCCTGCCTGCCTCAGCCCTGCCCTGCTCCCTCCTGCCCCACCCCTGCCCCGCCCCACTCTAATGACATGGAGTAGGTCTGGGCGATGCCACAGGTGGCCCGGTGTTTGCTGTAGAAGCGGTTCTCCAGGTCAATCTTGGTTTCCCCGATGAGGTCATCAGTGCCTACCAGATCCCAGTCGTACACGGCCACTGTCAGCATGGATTCCATGGGGAAGGAGGCCTCGATGTCAAAGGACCTGGCGGGGTGGGGGTTAGAAGGACTGAGGGTGTCTGGCCAGGGAAGCCGGGTGGGGCCAGAGGGGGCGGTGGCCCGTGGGCCGCCAGGAGGCCTTACTTCCCAAAGACAGGGTTGAGCTGCTTGGAGATGTAGTTCTCCTTGTCTCGGATGTCAGTTTTGCCCAGCCGGATGGCAATGTAGGGGTCGGCTTTGCCGTTAATGTCTGCGGGGTGCAGGTCCGTGGCCTGGGGTGGGGGAGGGGTGCTCCTGAGCAGGCTCCCCACACACCCTCTTCGCCTTCCAGTGCCCTCACCCCTCTCTGATGGTCCCGTGATAGCAAAGGGCGGGAGCACTGGACCGGAGAAAGGAGAGTTGCTGTGTCACCTGGGGCAAAAGTCGTCGCCCATCTCAGGTCTTGGCTTCCTCCTCTAGAGAAGGTGGGAACTAGGCCAGGTGACCTCTCTGGTGCCTCCCAGTTGGGGCTGTGACACTTTACACTGACACTTTAGAGCGCTGCTTTAGCGCCTCCTGGGCAGGAGGACTGGGAGACCGGGGGGAGGGGATTCGAGGTGAGTCTTACCCTGACCACATAGACTCGGACCAGCACATTGATGGGGTCGTTGCTGGGGATGCCCTGGAACATGCCGTAGGTGGGGTCGTAGCCGGCTTCCCGGGACACGTCCTCTGGGAGTGGCACTTTATACACGCAGAGGGAGCCCTGGGGCAAGGCAGGGGCTCAGGCCAGGGTAGCGTTCCAAACGGTCCACAGTACAGAGGGATGGCATCCTGTGCTCAGGGTTGATGGATCTGAGGGGGGTCCAGGGGCTCAGGAGGGAGCGGCCAGGGCAACGTTGGGGGTGGGTTACTCAGGGCAGATGCTCTTTTTTAAGCAGCATAGAAATATTTTCATGTTTACGAATCAGGGCAGCTGACAGTTCCACTTGACTGTCGGCCCTGGGCTTGGGGTGGGGAGAAGAGCTGGTGGGCGAGGGGTACGATGCTCAGGGCCTGGGCGCACACTCCTGGCCTCACCTTGAACCGGCCCACGATGCGCTCCTCCTCCGTGGAACTGTCCTCGTCATCCCCCGTCTTGCCCCGCAGCAGATTGAAAGTGTGCAGCCAGTCCTCAAAGTTGTCAAACTCAGACTCCAGCTCCTTGGGGTACACCTGAGCCAGGCCAGGCCATCAGGGGGACACGGCACGACCACTGCACCCCGTCTTGTCCCATCTGCCCCCGCCCCTGCCCCAGGCAGGACCCCACATTCCTGGTGGGTCTGCCCCCAGACCCTCACCTTAAGCTCATCAATCTTGGGTTTCTTCTTCTCTGGGGCCTCAGGCCCCTGGCCAGTGCCGGGGCTCTGGGTTCTCTTTTTCTTCTCCTCCTTTGCCGCCTTTGCCTTCTCCTTGCCCTTCATCGGCCCCTTTAGGCCTGGCCAGAACCAGAAAAGGAGGCCCTGGTCAGTTTGGGGCAGAAACGATGAAGCAGGAAGTTCTGGGTTAGAGACCCAGATCGGCTGTTAATTGACTTTGCTGATGTAACTCCTCTGGGCCCTGTGTACTCATCGGTAAGATGCAGACAGTACTCCCTGGCATGCCTGCCTCCCACGGGTGGGTGCAGGGCACCCATAAAGCCACACTGGGACTGTGTACAAAGACCACTGCCATGCCCTCCGGCAGAGCAGAGCAGGGAAGGGGCGTGGGTCTTGAGTCGGGAGGCCTGGGCCGCACAGCACTTTCCTCTCTGGCCATTTCACTTTCCTCTCTGGCCTCAATCTGCTCGTCTGTCATATCCAGAGGGCTATTCTACACCAGCATTTCCCAAACCGCACTCAGTGGAACAGCCGCTGTGGATGTTCTTGGAATGTGTTAGAAGAGAGTGCCTATTGTGGTCAAAGAAGCTGGGGAAATATTTTATATTCTATCTTCCTTTTAGAGACTTATAATAACATTTGCATATTAAAGGCACTGGGAAGTCCTGTGCCAAGAGACCTGTTTAATCCATTTGACCAAAGAATCCTCTTCTCCTTCTGGAATACCCATTAATAGCGTTCCATGGAAAAGGCCTGGAAAACGCTGAAGCTCTGTTGTTCTGTGGCTGTAAATGTCTCTCACCATGGTGGCTGAACCGGTCACTCTAGATTAGAGCCTACGCCTGCCCCCTGGTGCCCAGGGATGGCTGGTGATAGCTGCCCTTGGCTGCTAGAGCGGCGCAGGGCCCTGGGCTGGGAAAGACAAGCAGCTGGGGTGGCGGGTGGAGGAGCCAGCCCTCCAGGGCGGCAGAGAGGCAGAGACCCAGGGTCCCGGGCTCACCCTCCGTGTTCTCCACCTCCTCCTTCTCCTCCAAGTCAATGCCGGAGGCCTCTTGCTGTCGAAGTTGCTGCCAAAAGATAAGGTGAAGAGGAGAGAAGGTGGGCTTCCTGGGGAGGGGGTCGTTCGACCCCATCCTGTGGTCTCAGAGCAGTCTTAAATGCTTAGAAACTTTTGGGGGTGCTTGGGTGGCTCAGTTGGTTGGGTCTTGGACTTTCGGTTTTGGCTCAGGTCATGATCTCGCGGTTTGTGAGTTCTAGCCCCACATCGGGCTCTGCACTGACAGCACGGAGCCTGCTTGGGATTTCTCTCTCCCTCTCGCTCTGCCCCTCCCCGGCCTGCACTCTCTCTCCCTTTCTCTCTCTCTCAAAAAATAAACAAATAAAAATAATTTTAAAAAAAGAAACAGACGCTTTTCCTATTGGGGTTCAAACCCATCATGCACTCTGTGTAAGTGGGTTAAAAAAGTTTATGATATTGTGTACAGTATGACCAACTGTGGTCAGGAGTTTATGATTCTTTACATTGTGCACCACTTAAAAATAAAATGCCCTTTAATGTTGATTCTTAGTGGTATTCTTTTTTTTTTTAATAGAAAAAGTATAGTAGAAAAGCATAACTGAATACGAAAAAACGTGCTTTCTGTTCTACCCAGTTCACTGCACCTGCTGGAAACTAAATCCCCGGGTTTCAACCAAGGCGCCACCTGGTGGCAACCTATGCAAATTACAGGATTAGACACCAGGAGTCAACAGGCAGCCCCTTGGAGCTCGAGCCTAGCCAGCTTGAATCCAGGAGATGATGGTGGGAGAAGATACTACTAGGCGACCCCCAATTATCTGCCTTCCTGAGTTTTAGAAGTTTTTCTGGACACACAGGCATGTAGGTAAAGATTACATTTCCCAGCCTCCCTAGCAGCTAAGTGTGACTACAGGGACTAGATTTAGGCCAACATGAGTGGAAGTGATATGTGCAACCTCTAGGTTGGGGCTTTAAGAGGAAAGGACTATGCTTCCTCCTCTTCTCTTTGCCCTTTCCTGGGCACTGGTGAGTCATCTCCAACCACACAGATGCCAGTAACAAGTGGCAGGGTCTTCGTGCCTGCCACCATTATGTCACCATACCAGCCTAACTCTACTCTCCGAGACATTATGTGAGACAGAAAGAAGCTTCTGTCTTGTTCACACCAATCTAACTTGCTACAGCAGCTTAGCCTGCTAACTAACGTGCATCGGAAACCTTGCACACAGCCTGGGCCACAGAAAGGGCCTGGGGAGAGAGGATGACTGGATCAGCTCAGGTCCTACTGAGGAAGCACAATCATGGGCACACGTCCCTCCTGGTCGGTCAGTAAGTCGGGGAGTGCCCTGAGCCAGGGAGAGGGATACGTGAGGAAGAAGAGAAGTGCACTTTCTGGAACTTGCAGTCAGTGTCAGCAGACAGAAGCTGAACGCGCACAGTCGGGGAAGAATATTTCACAGCCACAGTGATTGAGATGTGCAGAATGAAGCATTGTGAGGAGGTGCAAGAACCACTAAGAAACCATTGCTCCCTTTTGGCCTCGGCTCACATGTTTCTCTTCTTCCTCAAAGGTCACCTTCCCCGGGAAGCCTTCTCTGACTCCCCCAGGCATTGCTCTGGCTTTGTCGTCACACTGTAGTGTAGCAGCTTACGTGTCCATTTGCCCAGTAGACCGAGGGCTCCTTAGGGCAGGTATGGACTTATCTTTGGCTCCCACAGTACCTAGGAAGGTGTCTGACTCATCATACATACTCAACAGATGTTTGTGGAATGAGTGAGTGAAGACAAGAGGAAACCTGGCCAGGGAAGGTAGACTGGACCGCCATTTTGGAAGAGGTGGGGCCTGAGCTAGAACTTGAAGGATGTGAAACAAGTGTGCTCCAAGCTCATGTTGATGGAGTCGGGGAACTGGCCCTGGTGGGAATGGGAAAGAAGCTGGATTGGAGGGGCCGATGTGGAGTTTGGGTCACCTCCCCTAACCCCATTCCTCCTTGGCTCCCCAGCCCGGGCCCGAGGCCTCACCTCCTTCATGGTATCGATGGAGGCAAAGTACTTGGACCACCAGTCCAGCATGCTCTCATCGGGCTCCTCCTCCTCTGGCTCTTCTGAGCTGCCCTTTTTCTTCTTTTTCTTCTTCTCTTTCTCCTCGTCAGCCTGGAGGGGTGGCCAGGTCCAGAGTCCCGCATACATCCCTGCTCCCTGGCCTTTCCCAGGGCCCTAGACCATCCAGGGGTCCCCCATCCATTCTGACCATCTGCTTCTGGGAAGCCTTAGACTCCGTGAGGCTTCTTGGGGCCACCAATGTCAAAGGGTCAAGGGCCATGTTTTGTGGAGGAGGATGCCATGGCCCAGAGAGGCTCATGACCTGTCAATGTGAGGGGTTTTGCTGCCTGAGTAGTTCTCTCCTTCTGCCTCTTTGGAAGGGTGTGTTGGCCCCGAGCATCCAGGGGCTGGGGAGTGGCTCAGTCCCTGATGTCAGGCCCCTTGGCCTGATACCCTATGTCACTGCAGGGTCCTCTCTCCCCAAAGCCCCCGGATGGGCCCGCACTCACCACATCCACCTTGATGACGGCATCAGAAGTCTGCAGAGGGGAACCAAGGAGACAGGGGCAGAATTAGCTACCGAGGGCGTGAAGCGGCAGGCGGTGTCCATCCAGGAGAGGAGAGGAGAAGAGCGGGAGCTGAGAGGGACCT